ATTACTTCATGTTATGTAATGCTAGATTTGTTGTGTTAGTATTTGTTTAAGATTTTTGCATTCAGGGGGGCCTGGGTGGCTCAGTCAGTTAAGCGTCCAACTTCGGCTCAGGTCATGATCTCATGGTTCATGGGTTCGAGCCCTGTGTCGGACGTTGGGCTGTGTGCCAACAGCTCAGAGCCTGGAGCCTGCTTCAGATTCTTTGTCTCCTCCTCCTTCTGCCACTCCCCTGCTCATGCTCTGTCTCTCTCTGTCTCTCAAAAATAAATAAAGGTTAAAAAATTGTTTTAAAAAAAGATTTTTGCATTCATATGAGTGAGATTGGCCTATATTTTTTTTCCTATAATATCCTTGTAAGAATTTTATATCAAGGTTATGCTGGCCTCATAACTCATATGGTGGTGTTTCCTCTATTCTTTGGAAATGGTTATTCAAGACTGGCACCTTTTCTTCCTTAAAAAAGTTTGGTATATTTACAAGTGAAGTCATCTGAGCCTGTGATTTTCTTTGTGGGAATATTTTTCATTGTGGATTCAGGTTCTTTATAGAAGCTATTCAGTTTCCTTTTGTGTGTATGTTTGTTATTGTAAGTTGTGTTTGCTAGGAATTTGTCCATTTCATTGAAATTTTCAAATGTATTGAAAAGTTGTTTTTAATATTCTTTTATAATGTTTTATGTTTCTATAGTCAGTAGCAATCCCATCTTTTTCATTCATGATATTGGTTATTTGGGTCTTCTGTATTTTCTTCTTGATCAGTCCCTATCAGAAGTTTATCAGGGTTTTTTGGGCTATACAAATTTTCAAGTATTGGCTTTCTGTTTGTTCCTATTTAATTAATTTCAGCTCTTATAATTACCATTTTCTGTCTTCTACGTTCCTTGAATTTACTTTGCTTTTTTTTTTTTTCTAACTTCTTAGAATGGATGCATGGGTCATTGTTTTCTGCTGGTTTTCCTTTCTACCTTATGGGTTTTCCTATATGCATGGATTGAGTGATACAAATCTTGGGATGTGCATTCTATTTTCATTCATTTCAAAGTATTTTCTACTTTCCATGATGATTTCTCTTTTTTGTTGTTGTTCCATCATTTTTTCAGAGGGATATTTTGTAATTTCCAAATGTATGTGCATTTTATAGTTATCTTTTTTGTTTGTATTTTGATTTCAAGTCGTATTCCACAGTGGGCAAAAAACATGCTATAAATAATTGCAGAACTTTGAAATACACTGAGACTTGCTTTATAGCCCAGCATGTGGTCAATATTTGTAAATGTTCTGTGAGCACTTGAAAATTATTTGCATCTTTTAGCCATTTATGACAGTGCTCTATATGTGGCAATTAGATCAGATTTGTTAATCATGCTACTCAGATATTTCATATCCTTTCTTATTTGTTGTCTGCTTGTTCTATCATCAGTTCATGAGAAAGGGGGTCGTTAAAGTCCCTCACTATGATTATAAATTTGTTTTTTTCTCTTTTTTGTTCATTCAATTATGGTGCATATATTTGGCTGGATATTATCTTCAGTATTAGAAATTTCTTAGCCATTATGTAGTCAAATATTTTTTTCTGCACTCATGAGACTGACAAAAGCTCTACTCAGTTTCTGAGTCTTCCAGCTGCCTCTACCAGAATTGACAGCTACTTCTAGAGGAAAAGCATCCATAAATGTCAGACCCACCTCTCTCGGTTTTCTTTTTTTCCTGGAATGTAGCCCAGTAATAATTGACTCTTTTGTGAACCCCAATAATGTGTAACAGATTTTTAAATATATTTTGTCTAGATTTTCCGGTTCGCATCAGGAAAGAATAGTAAAAATTACCTAGGTCACTGTTACTAGAAACAATTCCACCTTTAAATATTTATATATATACTCGACAGAGTATCTTACTTAATTCCTGAATAGTACAAAGTTTTGGAAATATTTCACTCAGGGAGCCCTATTGCACATATTATTATTATTATTATTATGTAGTATTTTATTTCAATATTGCTTTCTAACTCCAAAATTTAGTGGGAGGAGGAGTATAGTTAATGCTTTTTTTGCCATCGCTCTGGGTGAGTGGATAGAGTTTATTAGTTGCCATCTCACTGAGATTGCATCCCTTCAAGGGTCCCTGCTTTCTGCAGGAGTTTTAGTCCAACTCCCCATCTTAATGAGCCAAAAAACGCATCCCTTTTTCCTCTGTGGAAGTAAATACCCAAGCCCCTAGTTGTTACTGGGTATAATAACCACTCAAAGCTGCCCAGAAGATTGACTTATACGCTGACTTCTTTGGCTGTTAGCACCCTCTTTGCTTCTGACATTTGATAATTCTGTTTTATTGTGAGCCAAGACATGTAATTTTTTTAAATTACTACATTATTGTCAACGTTTCTAAGGTTTATATTGAGATGATTTAAGGATAGTCTAATCTGCCATTTTGCTGATACTATTCATCTAGTCCTCTTACTTTTCAGGAAATCACCAAAATGGTATATTTTTCTATGCCTAAAATTTATAGTTATATAAAACAATGTATACAAAACATTTGCCTCTTACTGTTTCTGTTAGCTCTGACTTGATTGGCTTTGACCAGTTTAGCTCCCTAATCTTAGAAAGGCCCTTTCAGTTCTGCCTTGGGGGAGGCCATTAAAGGAGCATAATTACAATCTCAGATTCACTACAAGAACTGAAATTATGAATCCAGGTTATCAGTTAGAGATTCAGAACCAAAATATAGAGAGTAGGTGCTATTTCAAGATCAACCTACTTGAATTACCATTTATTAGGCAACCCTCCCCTTTTTGTATTTTCTGGATTCTATACTTTTCTTACAATCTGGTGATCCCACACACAGTTTTCCATCCACTCTTCTACCCATTCAAATCTGACTTTACCGGCCGCTACTTAATCAGTATAGCTCTTCCTAAAGCCACCAACTTCCGTATTGAAAAATTCAGTGGCACTTCTCTGCCTAAATCTCACTTGACTTCTCAGTAATAGTATACTGCTAGCTACTCTCTTCTTGAAAAAAGTTCCTCTTTTGGCTTTAGTTAGGCCACAATCTCCTGGATTTCCTCCTATCGCTCACTACCTACCTCTCCTTGCCGGTCTCCTTTTGATGGCTCCTCTTTTTATAACCTTATCTTTTAATCATGAGATACCTTAGGGCTCATTTCAGGAGTTGTCTATCTTCCCTCCTTGGGGATATCATCTAGTCCCATGCCTTTACATACCACCTTTGTGCTAATGATTGCCAATTTCGTATCTCCAGCCCTGTCTGGCCTGTCAAGTTCACTTGGCTGTCTATACATTATCTCAAGGTTAATGTTTGATCTTCTATCCTTATTCTTCCCTTAACCTTTCCCATTTCAGTAATGGCAGCGGTATCCACCTACTTGTTTAAGCCAAAACTTTCATTTTTCCCTTTCCTTCAATTCCCATATCTAGTCTTGAGGAACTTCTATGGGTTCTACCTCCAAAATATGTCTCAAATCTGTCCAATAACCATGTGAGATGTAATTATTACTTCCATTGTGTAGTAAAACGAGCAGAGATTAAGAGAACATGTTAGCAATTTTCCTAAGGGTACAAACCTTTAAGCAGAGGAATCCTTACCTCATGTCCACTATTCTTTCTATCATACTTTGACCCACAGAGAATACTTGTGAATGAATTAGTAAACAAGTTGATTTATAGAGTAATAAAATCTATAGCCATGGGTTTATCAGAAGAATATTCTCACCTACTGAAAAATAACTACTATCTGTAGAGTCGAAAATTTTGTTACATAGAAAGAGCCTTGTTATAGGTAGTATAGGGTAATACTGATACCATCACTTGTCATTACCTCTTAATACATAAAACCAGTTTCAGAATTTGAGATTATGAAAGATAGATCACTTGGCTTCCAGAACGCTCTCTGTTTCTTTCAAGGGTATATGGCCAATTGTACCCAAAACCTGTTGTGTTACTTCTATCGCATTCTTTCCATAGGCTTTTATCCCCGATTTCCTCCTCCAGCAAGGGTATTCGGTCAAGAAAAAGGTTTGCCAAACTTTTATTTTAGCTTCTCTACTGTCATGACTTTATTAATATTCAGCATTTCTCAAAAACAAGTCAAGGGGACAAGGAGAGAACCTCAGCAGAGCCGTATACAACTTGATTATATTGGCCAAATTATGAATGACATTTCAAGATAAGACTATATTTTAATCAACCAGGGTTCATTTTAAATGCTTAAAATAAATGCAGTTATTGTTTGTATGTTCAGGGAAACCAGTTGATTACCATCACTGGCAGCTTTACCTTTTGTATATTATAAATTTTATTAGAAAAGCTCTTTCTTTCCAATTGTAGAACCTCTCTTTCTGAATGAAATTAGAGCACTATTTTACCATGTGTGCATGTGTTTTCCTCAGTGATTGCTTGTAGCATCATAAAATCCTTGTAACATTATTTGTGATCTTAATGAATTTTTAGTGAAACCCACTTGACATTTGTTTGGCATTGACTTCATTTCTAAGCCTTGAATGCCATTATCATTTTATGGACTTTTCAAAATCAATTTGACTTCAGGTTTATTTTATACTTAGAGACTTAACTATCTTTTTTATAGAGTTCCTTGCACAGTCACTCAAATGCTAGAGGTCTTTGTGACTTTTTTTTGAATTTTTTAATGTTTATCTTTGAGAGAGAGAGACACACACACACAGAGTATGAGTGGGGGAGGGGCAGAGAGAGAGGGAGACACGGAATCCGAAGCAGGCTCCAGGCTCCGAGCTGTCAGCACAGAGCCCGACATGGGGCTCGAACTCACAAACCATGAGATCATGACCTGAGCCGAGGTGGGACGCTCAAATGACTGAGCCACCCAGGTGCCCCGTGACATTTAGTTTATATATTTAAAATATAAATGTAGAGTGGGATTTTTGGTAATTCTAATGTCTTTTGGGAAGAGTAGACTCTGGTTTTAATACAATATGTAAATGTATCTTCCTTGAATCTCCCACAGAGCTCTGTACCATGGAGTGTGGTAGCCACGGAGTCTGCTCAAGGGGAATTTGCCAGTGTGAAGAAGGCTGGGTAGGACCCACATGTGAAGAACGCTCCTGTCATTCTCACTGTGCTGAGCATGGCCAGTGCAAAGATGGAAAATGTGAGTGTAGCCCTGGATGGGAGGGCGACCACTGCACCATTGGTAAGTACCGCCATAATGCGCAAAAGTAAATTGTATTAACTGAAGAAGGAAAAGCAGTTTAGTGATCAGTCACCAGGCTTTTCATAGAACTTGAGGTTGGAGGTGAGAAAGGGGAGGAGGGAGAGCCACAAGTTTGAAAGGTTGGTTAACTGGGAGTTTTCCTGGTTTCCCATTACTTCAGTATTCCTTAGAGTTTCTGTTTTCTAGTGCTTTGAGTTACTCAAATGAAAGATGATACATTGGAATAAAGTGTCATTAGTTAATAAGAGAAGTGCTTTTGTTGTGAACGTAACGTTCACTGCCCATTTTTCCTTTTGAAAAGTATAGGTTGTTTCAGTTGAAAGCACTTAGAGGCAATTTCATTAAATGGGACTGCTTTAACAGGGGCCATTCGATATCATTAGGAGCTGTCTTTAATGTATATGAGGAAGACATTCCTGACCTACCATCAACAGAACATCTGTGTTGCACTGTTTATCGGGTGGCGTAGAACCTTTGGGCCGAGGCATCCACCCTCTCCCATCCCTTGTCACCAATTGCACTGATGTTCAGGATGGTGCCCGGGAGAACAGTCTGTGGGTGTGAGAAAGCCTATGTAACAAATCTATCACGTGGTCTTCACATTATAAAAAATAGCAATAATAACTAAAGTTTCAGTTTGAAAGCACTTTTATTTTTTTTTTTTCAAGAAAAAAATCAAAGTCCTTGGCACGTATGTGTATCTGCCACAAAGGCCTCCTGCACGTACAGACGGACCGATACGACTCCCATTGTTCAGCTAAGGAAAGTGGGTCACTGAGTGTTCCGGTGGCATTCCACGAGCACACAGAAAATTCATGCAGAGCAAAGGCCTGGATACCCAATTCACTGTTTGTGGGCTTTTCCTACCCCACCGCCCCCCCACCCCGCCCCAGGCTGTAACACAGCTTTCATTTTTAGGTGAAAGTATTTTGTTATAATGGTTGGAAACTGCCAGAGTAATGTATAATATATATAACACATAATCTTAATAAACTGCATTACTACTCTACTGAAGGTACAGTAAGTCTTGTTCTGTGACTGTGGAAAATATTGTAGATTCATTAAAAAGGTGGTGAGGGGTGAGATTCTGATGCAGCTTAAGTAATTACATTCCTGCTCTACAGTAAGTTTATTGCCTTCACGTAAGAGGATTTAAATATTGTGATGATTACCGAAGGTGGTTACTCCAGAACTCCCTTCTCAAGATATTACTAATAAGAAGATCAAGCTAGTGCTTTTTTCACGAAAGTTATTACTGAAATGTAAAAATGCAGCTCTCATACTTTTAATGAAATGTGACACTTTTTTTTAGGAAACCTCATAGAGTTTGTTGCAGAAAAGCCATTAATATCTTTCCCACAGAAAATATTATTCACAAACTACACAGGCCCATGTACCAACTTGTGAGCTGTAGGCATTTCGGCAGTTCACAGTTTGCTGTTCCACTCCCAGGCAACAGATGGCAAACCATTAATACATGTTGTATAGCTGTGGTCTCCCGGAAATTCATTCAATCGCTCTTTTCCTCCCCCTTTCAGCTCACTACTTAGATGCTGTCCGAGGTAAGATTTTTCTCACTCATTTTATAACAGAAAAATACCATGAACAGAAAATATGCATGTGGTAAAGGCAGGGTGGGTGGGGTTTTGTGTTGGTTGGTTGGTTGGCTGGTTGGTTGGGTTTGTGTATTTACTTTTGGCAGGCTTCCTGAAGTGTGAGAGTGTCAGGTTCCTGCTCTAATAGTCGGACTGAAAAGTAATTTGTTTTTCTAACGTCAAAGAGCTGTCTTTTGCCATTGGGTATAATAGATTGGAAAGCAGTTTTAAGAACTGTTTTTCCTTGGCTTTCTATGGAGTTTGGTGCGTGTGTGTGTGTGTGCATATGTCTTTGTGTACAACACAGGTAATTAGTTATAACAAACTAGGTTTGGGTAGACAGCTGAACATTTTCTTTGACATAACAATAGGACTCTAAGTCCATGTACAGTATCCTTTCAAGGACAGAAGAGTCATCCTGTTATAAGTAACCCCTCATGCATCCCCCAAGGATCTGCCTTTGATAGAGACAGTCAGGGGCTTTCTGGCAGATACCCTGGTGCCTTTCATTACCTCCACCTCAGAAGGTCGAATATTTTCCAAATTACCCCTGATTTCTCTTTATCCATTGTACATCCATGACAATGGAACTGGATGAATTCTTTTCTTAAACCTGTATATATTCATCCCATATACCACTCCTTGAGAAACATATATATATATATATATATATATATATATATATATATATATATTTAATATGTATGTATATAATGAGAGAGAGTCTTTTCATATTTTCTAACAGCCATCTGTCATTTTATTTTTAAGTTTTTTCTTCATCTGGTCTGTTGATAGTTGCTTAGAAAACCATTTGGAAGGAACACTGGGTTATATCTGCAGATTTTTCAAAACTTATTTTGCTCTTCATACTTCTGGACTCTTCTCTCAAAGACAGCAAATGAAAAGACTATTGATTGGACTCTCTCCAGTAAAATTCAGATCTGGTATTGTGCTGCTACTGGGAAAATGTCCAGCAGCTATGTGCCATTATTGCCATCTCCGTTCATCTGTCCACTGAGCGCTTGGCGCATACACGGCTGCCCTTTGGAATAGCTGAACTCGGAACTGTTGGTAGAAAGAGTAGGGCATCCCTGAGAAATTCAGAGTCTAAATGGAGACCGTTGTTAGTGTTTGTGGTTTATCAATGGATGGAAGTCATTTGAGCTCAACAATTTCCTCTATTTATCCAGTTATTCTCTAGAATCCTGAAAGTCTCAATTTGGCATTCATTAGTTCGATAAACGTTTGTTGAGCACTTACTGCAGGCTTAATATTATGCTAGCTTCTGAGCGAGATACCAGATAAGTAAAAATTTAATCCTTAATCCTCAGATCAATAACAATCTTAAAGAAAACACCTGAATAAATGCAAAGCAACTGCAGCACATTTCTAAGGTATTCTACGGGCAAATATTTAATGGTGTGGTATGAACTGTGTAGCCATGCACCTAAGTCCTGAAGCAGTGTATCACAAGGGAAAAATCAGTACAGATGAGAAGTAGGTAGGGGAAGCTTCTTTTCGCAGAAACTGTTGTCTTTCCCTAGCTTATTGGCCATAACTAGGTACAGTATCGTCCATCTGGTTTTGATTGAGCTGAGAAGATACTTTTTTTGAAAAGAAAACAACAAAAAAAAACCCACATTTTTGTCCCCATCATAGTTTTTATCCCATGTAAAACAGAGGGTGGGAATTGGGGTTAGCATTAATAAGGCTTAATTGGCTCTCTGAGGAAAAGCACAGCAGAGTGAGGGATAACAATTTCCCTGGGAAGGTTTTATAAGCCAGCGAGCTCCTCTTCCATTTATTCAACACCTTATCTGAATGGAGCCCAGAGGATTAGATATTTTCCTATAGGTAGAGACATCATTGTTGGCCAATCCCATGCCAGTGCCTCCATGATTGTTATTCTCTGCTGTCTTTCCAGATGGCTGCCCAGGGCTCTGCTTTGGAAATGGACGATGTACCCTGGATCAAAATGGTTGGCACTGTGTGTGTCAGGTGGGTTGGAGTGGCACAGGCTGCAATGTTGTCATGGAAATGCTTTGTGGAGATAACTTGGACAATGATGGAGGTGAGTTCTTCATGAAATGTAAATATTAGAAGCGATGTGATGACCAATCTGGCTAAGAGTGAACATTGGGAATTCTTCATATAAACAGTATTGATTGTAGATGGTCATGCTATTTTTTTTTTAATCTCGGTGTATTGAATACTTACTATGATCAAGCAACATTGCAAACTCTGCTTGCATTATATCTCATTTAATTCTCACAGCAATGCCATGAGGTATAGGCATTACTTTCCCTACTTATAGATGGGAAAACTAATACTTAGAGTGGAAGAGTATGTGACTTTTCCAAGGTCACACAGCTAGAAAGTCACAGAACCCAGGTTCCAGTTAGGTCTCTATGACTTTAGAGTCTGTTTTCTTAACTACAGTAGCCATGCTGCCTCCCATCTCTGTGGCATCTATTATAGCAAATGAAATCTTTGTACCCCTGTTCGTACTGTCAGATGCTAGTGTAGCTTGCATTGTACACACTGTGAAATAATTTTCTTTGTTCTTAGTTGTCGAGAACAAACTCTTATGTCTCTACCTCTTAGTAATGCTTTGTATCTTTCAAAGGACACAGCATCCAAGACAATGCACAGTAGAATAATTATATTTAATTCAAGAGCTGCACATGATATTTTCAAAAGCCATATTGGCTCCAAGGTCTCCGGGTAACACTCCTTTTTCAGTCAAGCAAACAAAAGTATCCAATACATTGTTCAATCAGACCTCAAAACAGCCCAAATCACCTCTGAATGAAGCTAAAACAACAAATCCTCACTTTCCTCTTTCTGTCTACTCAAGGAAACATTAAGTTAATAAAAAGCTTTATTTCTAAAAAAAAAAAAAAGGTTTTATTTCTAGTTTCCACCTATTAGCTTAAAATGAAGTAGATCATTAAATTTGACTCCTCAGGTTTCTATATTTGCTTAGACAATTATAAACCTTGTCATCTGAACCCAAACATGAGGCTTAAGTCAATAAGCTAGCAATCATAGTTTCAGCACACACTGGGTGTAAGAGCTTCCCCCTTGACTAGTTCTGGCTAGCAATTTACCTTAAAAAATTATAAGACCTTATGAATTTTAAGCGGAAGCAACTTTGTGTCTAAGAGAACAGAGCTTTGAAGTTAGACTTTCTGGCTGCTATGTACTTACTGGCTGTACGATTTGGGAAAAGTTTCTTGAGATCTCTGAGCTTTAATCTCCTTATCTCCAAAATGGGGCTGATAATAATATTAACCCTCAAATAGGGTTATTATAAGTATTAAATGGACAATTCACGTGGACTCCTTAAAAGGTGATAGCCTATGCCACTCTTCCCCTCACACACACACACACATACACATACGTTACACTTAGGGTAACAGCCATTTTCTGAAGAGACTGCTTGCTACCTATCTAAATTGAAAATTTTATTTGGGAAGCCAGAGTGAGATTTTCAATTAAATGGTGTACGGATCAACTATTTCCTGGACATTTATGGTCCTCCAAGATTCATCTTCACCTTCCTTTACTTCGTTTTCGTCATATGCCCCTTTACCTGGTGTGCCTTTTCCTTGACACCTGTCATTCTCTATCATTTAAATCCCAGCTCAAGCCATATCTCCCATGGAACCTCTGACATCCACCATCCCAGTCTTTCATGGGGTTTATCAGATGCACCATACCATCAAGCACTTAACTATATTGTCTGTATGGTTTTCTTGTTACATGTTAAGCATGACCCAGAATCTATAGTTATATGCCCAATATAATCACTAATAATATTAGCTTACTTGTATTTAGGATTTCCTATGTACAAGGCACAGTGCTGAGTCCTTTATGTGAACTGTTTCATTTAATCCCCATGAGGCAGGAACTACTATTAATATACTGCTTTACAAATTAGGAAACCGAGGCACAGAGAAGTTAAATAAGTTGCTCAAGATCATATAACAAGGAAATGATAGAGCCAGGTATAAACTATGGTGGGCATTCCAAAAAGGATTTGAGGTCGTAATAGAGATTTCTCAGTTGATATATTGATTGAAAGGTTTATGCTCAGAAAATACTTTAACAACCTATATGATTATAATTTCTAACTCCGGGTTGAGCCAAAATAAGTTTCCTGCCTTAATAAAGTACAGTTTGATAAAAATAATTGAATATTTAATTGTCAAGCATTTTTAGGGCCTCAAGGTCACCTTGAGGCAGCCAAAAATGTTTAATGAATGAATTGATTAAACATTAATGAATTAATGGACTATCAATTCTTAGTATCTGTGGTATATATAGACACAAAAAGTATAGAAGATTTTGCTAAATATCTATTGACCTCTGAACATTCCTTTAAAACTGTGTATCTAATGTGGGAATCAAAAATCAACAACCCTGATATGAGTTCAGTGTATTTTTATGATTGTTTCTTTAGGGAGTAGCAGTTCCAATTACCATTTTTTCTCCTTTAGTAGGATTAAGATGATATTGATGATAAATATAGATTTGGTTCTACCTTGAGATGGAAAGATGGATTAAATAACCTCTGAAAGCCCCATGACTGAGATTTTGGACAATAATTTCATTCTTACGCTGCTAAAATATTATCCATAAGAATACACTAAATGTCCTTCATTTGGTGATTTCAGCTTTCCAGCTATCCAGAATTACTGGATTCATTTAGTTGAATATGACTAATGATTAATATTTGCATACTTATTTGTGCATGTGTGTATGTGTGTGTGCGCTTCAATTAAATCAGAAAGTGCCAATTGAACCTTTTGGGGAAAAAATGGTCCTCATTTTTAAAATGTAATTCTTAAGAAATTTTCCCACTCAAAAAAAAATCACTCTCAAGCAATTGCTTCAAGTAGCTGCTACCTGATTGCTCCATATTATCGCTGATACTTAAAGAATAGCAGGATTTTTTTGCATTCTAATCAGCTTTGAATACTCATTAGTATTGCTGCTGTTTCCTGCAGCTTTGACTTTAGTCACACTCTGATTCAATGCATTGTGACTCTTAGTAACTAATTGGGCTGCATTGAATATGTGGGTGACACAGCTGGTCTGGGAGCTACCTAAGAGCTCCTTGAACAGTAAGAACAGAACAGAGAACAAATCACCTTTGGATTTTTTCTTAACATGCAAAACAAGGAAAGCTGTCTTATGCATTGTATATATAAGAACTAGCTACCGTAGAAATTACAGACCAATCAAATGTCTCTACCTCTTTTATCCTTTTAGTCAAAAAGCACCTACCACGTGCACAACCCTGTGCTTGGAGGAGACAATATTGATGTGAATGGTGACCACATTTTCCTGTGTTAATCATGTGTCCTGATTTGGAGTTTAAAAATTGTGATCACCATGCATTATGTGCACATATAAATTGACATGAGAAAAAAAGTTTAGACGTTGCACTAACTGAATCAGAAGAGCCTAAACAAAGAGAACAAGCTAGAACTATCAGACATTAAAGAATATTTTAAAGCTATGATAATTAAAACAAAGTGGTACTGGGGCATCTGGGTGGCTCATTTAGTTAAGCGTCTGACTCTGGCTCAGGTCACGATCTCATGGCTCATGAGTTCGAGCCCCTCGTCGGGCTCTGTGCTGACAGTTCAGAGCCTGGAGCCCGTTTTGGGTTCTGTGTCTCCCTCTCTCTCTGCCCCTCCCCTGCTTGTGCTCTCTCAAAAAGAAATAATAAAATATTTAAAAAACCAAAGGGGTACAGATTGAAGAGTAGACAGATCAGTACAACCAAATGAAAGCTCTGCAACACACCCCAGGACAAATAAACATTTAGTAGATTATATAACTGGCATCAAAAATCAGTAGGGAAAAGAAGCATTGTGAAGTAATGCTCAGACAACTCCTGAGGAAAAAAAACCTTAGATTTTCAATTTATAGCATATTCCAAAAGCCGAAGAGAAATCAAAACACTCCAGCTGATTAATGAGTTAAAGGTAAAAAAAAAAAACAAAAAAAACCCCAAACACAATTAGAAGAAAATATAGGTGACCAATCTCAAGACAGGAAAGGACTTCTTAAACATAAAAGCAAGGAAAGAAACCACCACAATACAAAAAAATGATAAATAGGACCTCATGAAAATGTCAAACTCTGTTATGTTGTTTGGCTAAGTTTATAGACCATCCAACATCTAACCATTTGGCAATCTCAAAATCTGCACTGATATAGTAGCTACTAGTCAATGTGACTATTTCAGCTTAACTTAAATAACATTAAAAATTCCATTTCTCAGCTGCACTGGGCACATCTCCAGGGCTCAGTCGTCACATGATACTAGTGACTATTAGAACAGATCTAGAGCATTCCCATCATCTTAAAAAAAATGTTATTGGATAATGCTGATCTAAATGTTTGACTCCAATGTTTATCTTTCAGACAGACATTTCATACTGAGTACCCAGTTTTCCATCATTCATTACCAGTTCGTGCCAAGTATTGTGGTTGGCATTAGGGAGAAAATGACAAGACAAGTTTCTGCCCTCATAGAGCTTATGGCCTAGGGAGGGAGACAGATATTAAATAAGAAATGACACAAATAACTACATATTGGCAACTGTAAGCAGTGCTATAAAATTTTTAGAGCGCTAGAGACATGTGTAGGGAGCTAACCAAGTCTGCATGGTAAGGGAGGCCCCACATGAGTCTGGAGCAGAATGCTCCAGGCCAAGGAAACAGCATGTACAAATGCCCTGCGATGGAAATGTGCTAGGCTCTTCTAGGAAGTGAAAGGCAAGTCATTGTGGCTGGAATATGAGCCAAGGAGAGACTGGTAGATGAGAATATGAAGCTAGGCATTAGCCAGATCATGGAGAACAGTGTGAATTTCATACAATCTTCAGTTATCAAGCAGAGATTTCATTTTATTCACTCTAGTTGTAGAGGAAGGAAGGTGATTTCTGATACTGTGGAAAGACTGTCAAGGAGGTTAAAAAGGTGAGGAATAAGAGTGTTTAATCAGAACAGCTCTTTTCCCCCTGATCTTTTAAATATTTGTCACATGTTTTC